AAAATAAAGCTAAGAAAAGGGTTGGAATCAGGATTGGGCTTCAATGGAACTGGGTTTGTTGGGAACCAGATCATTCATTCTTCCATGTCTTCATTCATTCAGGAGACACACACAACATTTCAGGCACTGTTCTAGGCACTGCAAAAAAAAAAATACACAAAAAAATACACACAGTGCTTACTGAAGCTGGGAGAGAAGGACAAGAAACAGTAAACAATAATTTGTTTGGATATTAAGTGCTCTAAAGAAAATAAATGTGGAGTGGAAAGGGGGTCGGGATTGGGGGTTAGTTTCTGATAGAATCACAGAAGCCAGAGCCATGAGGACTGGATAGATCTGAGTTTAGAGAGGTGCTGGGACTAAGACTATTTTTTGAGAGAGGCTCAGAGTTCTACTCTCAGCAGATAACGTTTGGGACCCAGGGAGAGTAAGGAGAGAGTCACATTCCCATCCCCCCTTTCCAGACCTGCCCTCTTTTCTTCTGTCTCCCAAGGCAGCTCCTGCCAACCAGGAAGCACCAACCCAGGTGTTCTCCCTGCTGGCACCCTTCTTTCACCATCAAGGGAAGGTCACAAAGTGCCTGGGCCAAGTTAGGGCCACTGGGAGCTCAGATTCTGAGATGGAAGGAAGGTTCCGGTAGGTTCCAGATTGAGCGAGGAATAGGGATGAGATTGCAATTCAGGTTGAGCTTAGGAATAGGGTTGCGGTTGGAGTGAGTGAGTGAAATCACCTTCTTAAGACCAAAAGCTGTGTCACCCCCATCCAACCCCTCCAAGCCTAAGTCAAGAATGGCAGTGGCTCCTTCTTGCCTTTGAAAGAATGACATCACCCCTTCATATGACTCCTCCATAGGCTCCTATCTTACAGGGCTCATTCCCCCACCACGTTCCCCTTTGCTCTCTTCTGTCTGGGACTAGGAGCCTTTCTTTCCTTCATTATAAGCAGGGGCAATGGAGCCCCTACTATGTGCACAACACTGTGTCAGACCCTAAGAATTCAACATAACCAAAGCAAGTCCCTGCCCTTCCTCCTAGAGCTTATATTCTAGTGTGGGAACAGACAATATTACATAATAACCAAGTAAATTAAATGTTATATTAAATAGTTATAAGTGCTGAAGAGAAAAAGCAAAGCAGGGAACAACAATATAAAGTATAAGGAAGCAAACTTTAGAGCCAGGGAGGAGCTTTTTGATAAAGGACTTTTGAGTTAAGATATGAAGGAAGTGAGATCAACCCCCTTTCAACCACGGGGCCTTTGCATATGTTGTCTTCCTCTACCTCTTGGACCTGATTAATGTTTCCTCTTCCTTCTAATCTTAGCTTGAGAATTGCTTCATCAAGGGAGGTCAAATTTAACTATTAATGGCTCTCACAGCACAGTGGCTAACATTTTTGATTGATGTCTGTCTTCCCCATTAGATTAGACAGTCTGTCATTTGGTTTGGTTTTCTTCCCAACTCTTGGCACAATACCTGGCACATGGGAGACTCTTGAAACATGATTCTTAATGGTTGGTTGGGTTAGTAATGAGGACAAGGTCAGGATTAGGAACTGTATTAACAATTGGGTTGGAATTTGGGTGAAGATTCAGAGAGGTGAGGTAGATTGGGGTAAGGGTGAGTCGAGGGGCAAGGAGTAGTATATGTGTGAAGGGGGATGAAAGCAGGATGGGAGAGAAGGCTGGGGATGAAGGTTAAGGGGATGAAGGTCATGCCCCCGCTCTGGGTGACTGGCAAGGCTGTCTCATCCGCTTGGCACTATGCTGTTCCCACTGAGGATGAAGCTGTCAAGATAGTCAGGCCCACCCTCCTGGGCTCTGCTCAGCTATCCTGATGACTCTTGGGGAATGCTAGGAACCTAATGATGCAAATTCCTTGCAAACTCTTCCAGCCTCCTGCCTTCTAGCCACTTCCCTTCCCTAGAGACTGTGTCCCCAAGGAGCTGCTAAGCCTTGGTGAGGAGCAGAATGGAATGGAGTGGAAATAGAGGGTCAGGGACTTGGTAAACTTCACCTCCAAGCTTCTTGGGGACACAGGGTCCTGAGGTAGAGGAGTAAGAGGCCCAGCCTTAACCTTCTACTCTAGTGGTAAGATCACTCTGTAGGAAGTAGAGAAGAGGCAAGGACACACAGGTGACCAGAGGGTAAGGTGAAAGAGGACCTTGAGAAAACAGGAAAGGGAGCTGATGGTGTAGTAGAGTTTGGGTGTCACCATGAATGGTGGGAAGGGAATCTACCACCACCCCCCAAAAGCTGCCTCTTCAAGTCATAACCCACTATCAGTAAGTCTCCCCACAGCCAGTCCCTCTCTCCCAGCAAAGAGGAGTGGTGGCTCTACTTAAGTCTGGAGTGAGAATTAGATTCCTGAGAGAAACAGGGATGGAAATGGGGATGATGGGGTTGTGAACGTGGCTAGGGACATGAAGAGGTTTAGGCATGAAGATGTCGATAGGGCATTCCCCATTACAACCAAAATGTGGACACATGACTCCAGGTAAGTGCTCACTGGGCTGAAGAACTGGTTCTCCTGGACCAGGGGTGGACCCAGAGAGCAGGAGAGGATGAGAGCTTTTGGAGTTAGCTCACAATGGTCCACCCACATCGGAGATTGAGTCTTCACTGCTGGGGCATCCCCACACACACACCTTGCCCCACCCCAAGCTCTGTAAGGCAGAGAGAAACCCCTGAAGCCCCACATCCCTGGGACGCAGATTAAAAAATCAAATCAGGTCACTTTTCTGCTTAAAACTCATCAGAGCTTGATATAGTGTTGCCCTTAGAATCAAGTCCAAGGACTTACCATGGACTACAGGACCATGTGTGACCCAGCTTTTCTCCGACCCCTTGGTCACCTTATTTTAGCCCCTCTGGCCTTTCCCACATTCTTCAAACACATGCTCATCAGGGCCCTTGTGCTTACCCTGTCCTTGGTCTGTAACACCTTTCCCCCAAGCTGTCCCAAGTGTTTTATTCTTGCAATTCAGGTCTCAGCTCAACTGTCACTCCTCAGAGTGGCCTTCCCTGACCACCAGATCTAAAGTTTCCCACACCCTCTTCCACTCCCAGTCATGCTAACACACCGGTTTCATCTCCTGAATGTGCTACAACAATCTGAAAGGAATTGTTTCTTTGTGTGTTTATTTATGCATTTGTTGTCTGACCCTCTATAAACCAGTAGAGGTTGGTATAGTGCCAGGGGAGTTCATAGCTGCTTCCCCAATGTCAAAAACAGTGTCCTGAGACATGAGACAAGCAGATCCGAGAATGTAAACACCGGAGTGACTTTTCAAGTCTCCTTGTCCCCTGCATTTATCTGACAGACTTGGGCCATTGAGGCTGAAGGACTTGCTCAAGGCCAGCTGAAGAAAGAGAGCTGGTGTGCTTTTCACTATACCAGCTGCTTTCCAGACTAACCAAAAAGCATAGAGGGGTCAAAGTGGAAGCTAGAGGAAGCACCCCATTTGACAGGGCTCCAGCTTTATATGAGCCCCTTCCCCACATCCTGTTCCCAGAGGTGCCCAGAGCCTGGGCAGAATCCTACATGCTGATGGGTGTGTCTCCTCAATAAATCTCCCTCCAAGCTGGCTTTCTGGGAAACCAGATTACAGTGATCCATCCTGGGCCCTCTCTTTCTGGCTCTTGGGCATTTTTAAGATGGACATGCCTCCTAATGCTCACTTTTGTGCAGGCCAAAGAATGTTTATCCTCTTGGAGGGATAGGATGCCTGAGTGTGCCCTGACATCCCTCCAGCATATGCAGGTCCTACTGGTTTAAGTCAAAGTCCAGATTTGAAAGGTAGGCGCATCCAGCTTCTGCTGCAGTCTTCCTGGGCACTAGGGGGCACTTAGTCCTTTGAATTTGTTCTAAAATGGACAACATCTGGTGATTTGGGCTACATACTTAGGTTAGAATTTGCAAGTGAGATATCACTAAACATACCTCTTCAAGCACCATGACATGGGGATTCTCATCTCCCAAGATGCAGGTACAAGAAGTGAAATCTGACCTTTAACTGCCCCTACTTCCATCCCAGGTAATGTGACTGGCCAGAGAGAGACGATGATCAGAGTTTGGTCAGTCACAGAATTTGACACAAGAGGCAAAGGAGGTAATGGGGCTGGATCTGAGGTCTCGGGAAGTAGGAAACCAGAAAGTGTTTAGTGGCTAGAGAGAAAGGTACAGATAACTGACGTGAGGGCTGCACGAGTCTATACTTAAGGGCTGCGGGGCCAGAAGGGAGAAGAGAAGACCTCCTAAGATTACCATCTGCTTCAGTCGAGATAGGCTAGATTATGCTGCAACAACAATCCCAAAATCTCAATAATTTAACCCAACAGAAGTTTCTCAGCTCTATGTCCAACTCAGGTCAGCAGGGACCTCTGCCCTGGTCAGTCCCTCAGAGGCAGAAGTTGCTAGAAGTGCCATCTCAACACATGATTCTAGAACAGCAGAGGCAGAAAGAAGAAAACTCTGAAGGGGTCATGAGAGTAATTAAACGCTCCAGCCTGGAGATGACCTGCATTACTTCTGCTCATAGCTCTAGCCAAAACTCATCTGGGACTCCACCCACCATAAAAGAGCTAGAGGTTGAGTCTTCCATGAGTCCAGAAGAGGAACCGGATCTTAGTGGCAACACTAACAATTCTCACACCCAGAAGTTGGATTCTCAGGCTTTGCAAAATACCTACTTTTTCCTATCATCCCCTTGAATCTGAATATTCTTTCACTCCTCAATGAATGACACTCTCTAGGA